AACAATACTGACTCAAGCAATCACAAAACTGTCTGAGAAGTTTTTTTAGTACGAAATCTTATCTTTCTAACGCCATTTGGCGTAACCCGATCGCACTTATACAACGCGAGATACAGATTACTAAAGCCATCTATTGGAAAAATAATAGATTTCTTTTTACTACACCTAATATATGATTAATTACATTGTACGTATTTTTCGTAATCATCAAATCTGAATTTCAAATAATAATCTACTACGTAATAATATTTTAAACACAAAATACAAAGAGCATTCAGCCACACGCAGAATATTTTTTTGGGAATGTCATATAATTCAAATTCTTACGTTAAAGATACAAATTATAGATGTTTCGGCCTATATCAGGCCATCTTCAGTATACAATGTAAATAATATAAAAATAGTTCGCAGTCATAAGATTAAAAAAATTGAAATAAATAAAAGATCAATGATTCTTAGTCATAAGATTAAAAGAATAAATTAACAATAAATTTTAGAAATGGGCATTAATCTTATAACTGCGAACTATTTTTATATTATTTACATTGTATACTGAAGATGGCCTGATATAGGCCGAAACGTCTATAATTTGTATCTTTAACGTAAGAATTTAAAATATATGACATTCGCAAAATACATCCTGCGCATGGCTGAATGTTCTTTATATTTTATGTTTGTAATTTGCCACTAGTGAATTTATAAATTTGTAAAATAATATTTTATTATATCGTAATATTATATATTAATACTTTATTATTATAATATTCTATTATATTTTTGCGCTTATTATCTCGGATTGTACTAGATTCTATTATGATAATTTACATCTCTGTTACAATATTATAATACATTGTCTTTTCGATATTTACTCAGTTTTGTTATAGATATACGTATACTATATACATTATATACATATACTTTATTATTCTTAACCTACTATCCATTCTTTTATTTAGGATTGAATATTAAATAATAATATTAATAGATCTTGATTTTAAAACATTCAGATATTTTAGAATTTTCTTTAATTATATTACGTTTATCCATTATTGCGTTATATTAGGTGTACAAAAAAGTTCTGAGCTTTTTTTTGTAAAATTCAATCTTTATTTATTATAAT